TCCATGTCAACTATTGCCTTCACCTTCTCCGGGTTGGGCTCGATCCCTCGCTCGCTCATCATGTAGCCGAGGAACTTGCCTCCCTTGACGGCGAAGGCACATTTTTTCGGATTGAGCCTCATGCTAGCCCCTTCCATGATAGTGAAAACCCTCTCCATATCCTGGACGTGGTCTCCCTTCTTCTTGCTCTTGATCAGGATGTCATCCACGTAAGCCTCCATGGTTTTGCCCAGTACGTCCTTGAACAACATCCTGATCATCCTTTGGAAAGTAGCCATGGCGTTCCTCAGGCCGAACGGCATGACCACGTAACAGTACACGCCGTCCGCCGTGACGAACGCCGTCTTCTCTGCATCATCCGGGTGCATGAACACCTGATGATATCCTCTGAACGCATCCATGAAGCTGAGCAGCTCGCAGTCCGCAGTTTCGTCTACGAGCAAGTCGATCCTCGGCACTGGATATGGATCCATTGGACAGGCCTTGTTGAGGCCCGAGTAATCGACGCACATCCGCCATGTGTCGCCCTTTGGGGCCAATACCACATTGGCCAACCACTCCACGTGGATGACCGACCGGATGTGCCTGATGCCGAGGAGCGTAGTGGCCTCCTTTTTTATGAAGTCTCGCCGGTCAGCCGCCATGTATCTCTTCTTTTGTTGAACGGGCTTGGCATCCGGCCGCACGGCGAGTCTGTGACATATGAGGTTGGGATCAATGCCTGGCATGTCCTCCGGCCCTCTGGCGAATAGGATCTTGAACTTCCGGAGGACGGCTATGACTCCCTCCTTGATCTCAGGCTCAAGGTCGGCGCCTATGGATACCTTCCTGTCCGAAGGGTCATTCAGCTCCCCTTCTTCGAGCAGGGCAGCCGGTTCCAGACGAGCGTCAAAATCGGCTTGTCTGGCCTTTTCAGAAATGCTGTTGACCCGGGCTTCCCGCTCGTTGAACCTTTCCATGGCCTTCGTGTAACAGGCCCTGGCCATGTGTGGGTCCGTGCGGGCTACTCCCACTCCAGTCTCGGTGGGGAATTTGATGCATGAGTGCCGCACGGAGCATATGGCCTCAAGATCTTCCAAGCTGGGCCGGCCCAAAATTGCGTTGTGAGCACACTTTAGGCGGACCACGACGAACGTCATCCGGATGCGGGTGGTGTGAGGTCCATCCCCGATCTCCACGGGGAGGCCGATGGTGCCCTCCGCGTCGATGCAGTCCCCTGTGAAGCCAGAAAGAGGGGTGCGTAGAGGGACCAACTGATCCTTCCTCAGCTTCATCCCTTCGAACGCCTCCCAGTAGAGGACGTTCACGCTGCTCCCAGTGTCAACAAGGACGCGGCGGACGATCACATTGTTGATATCCATGCTGATCGCCAACTCATCCCTATGCGGGGCCGGTGACATTGGTAGGTCGGCCGGTCCAAAGGTGATGGCCTCCACTTTGTTCCTTTTGGTGGGGGGAGCTGATATGGAGCCCACATAGAGGGACCTCTCAAACTTCTTCCGCTCAGCAGGTGTGTCCCCAGTCTCAGCACCCCCGAAGATCACCTTGATCTCCAACTTCTTCTTCCCGCCGTTCGGGTCGAGGGACCCCTCCAGACGTTTATCAGCACTTCGATAGTCTACGTCCTTTGGTTCAGCCTCGCGCCGATCGTCGCGGCGCCATGATCGTGACCTCGGATTCGGCTGCCTCGGGCTATTCTTCTTCAGTAGCTGGGTGAATTCGCCCAGATAGCCCTGTCGGATCAGTTCGTCGATGGCCATCCTCAGCTGCTTGCAGTTGTCGGTAAGGTGGCCGACCCTCTGGTGGTACTCGCAGTATGCGGTCTCATCAAGACCCATAAGCGCCTTCTGGTCTTGGGGCTCCCTCAGGAGGCCCTTGTCTTTAATGGCGTCGAAGATCTGGCCCACGGGGTAGGCCAAGGGGACGTGATACTCCCCCGGACGCACGTGGCTTGCCTCAGGGTGGGCCTTCCACGGAATCATGCCGCCGTCCGTCTTTTTCTTCTTGTTCGGGGGGGATGGTCCGTCTCCGGGGCCGAGCCTATCCGCCAGTTTCCGGGAAGGGGCTGCAGGCGCGCCGTCCCTCAGTCTGATCTCCTCCTCAATGGAGGCATACTTCTGTGCCCGAGCCAGCACCTCGGTATAGCTGGTGCTGGGGTTCCTCCGGAGGTCCCGGTATAAGTCCCCCGTTGCCAAAGCGCTGGTGAACATGTTCACCCCCAGCCGCTCATCCAGGTCATCCACCTGAAGCACTTCGTCTCTCCATCTGACCAGGAATTTGGCCAGAGGTTCGTCCTTCCCCTGCTTCACACTGGTGAGCGATGTGAAGCTCTTCTTGGGGGTGGTGCTGGCAGCGAACTGTGCCATGAACTGCTGGGACAGCTGTTCGTAGTTGTCAATAGATCCGGGCCTCAGCTGCCCGAACCACTCCTGCGCCGGTCCCCTCAAGGTGCTGAAGAAAAGCCGGCAGATGGCCTCATCGGATGCTCCCAACATGGAGAGGTTCCCCTGGAAGCTGATCAAGTGAGCCTTGGGATCTCCGGTCCCATTGTATACTATTCCTCCGGGGGGTCTGCAGTCCCGTGGGATCTCTGCATTCATGACCCTCGGAGTAAATGGCGAGGTGAGGGAGAAACGAGGCGTAGCTGGGGTGGCCTCCGCCCGTCTGTCCATCTCGGCTATTCGCCGCTCCATTGCCTCTAGCCGGGCCTCCTGTGCGGCCCTTCTGGGGGACACAGGAGGGGCAGCCTCGAGAGCAATGTTCCTTTGTGGGGCAACCGCGTCGGGTTGCCTTCGGGTAATATGGGCACCACGCCTTTGGAAACGTCGTCCAATGTTACTGGCGGCAGGGGTAATGGCGGTGCCCTGATGTTCTGAGGGAGCATCCGGCGTGCGCCCCCGATGATCATCCTGCCAACCATAACGAGGGGTAGTGGCGCTGGTGTGCCCCCCAGCCCCGTGGGAGGACGGATTTTGGCCCAACCTCGCGTGGACGGGCGTCCGACGCCCGGCAGATTCCGCTGTCTCGTCCAAGGACTGCATGTGGTGGATGGGTGATATGGGCGTCCAGATGGTGTTAGCTGAATACACCTCCTCATCCGTCTCCTGTTCATCTGCCATTCGGCGCATTGTTTCCGCCAACTCCCTCATGAGTCGGGGGTCGCGTCTGGCCTCGTGGGGGATGAGGTTGGTGAGGCCACCCTCACCCCCAATAGTTCCCAACGTCTCGGAGCGTTCCGTGGTTTGCCCGCGGTTGCTTCGCCCGCGGGACAACTGCTCGGAGAGGTCACGTTGTCGATTGTTCTTTGTCATCGTGCTTGCTGTGGGTAGATTTAGTAGCTGTTTGGGAGAGATTTGGAAACTTTTAGTTCAGTTTCCCACAGACGGCGCCAGTGTTGAGGTTTATTCTTTCAACCCCCGGGTCCAACACGTAAGCCCAATGATTTCGAGTGGAGTATGTGTGAATAAACTAGCCCAACTAACAAATGAGATGAATCAAGAAACAACAAAGTAGCAAGTAACGTGATTAGGTATTATTATCTCTTAATAACTCCCTAATACAATACTTCTCTCTAAGGCTCGTCGGCCGATCGTCTTACAAGGCAGTAGAAGTGCTGCGAGTAAGAATGCTATAGCTAGAGTGCTAAGAATAGAAAGTTGCCAACCCTTTACAATGAAATAAATGCTTCTATTTATACCCACCAATGGGCAGGTGGTTATACTGACTTGGAAGCCTGTGGTTCGCTGGTGTCCCAACCACCAAATCTTCAGCATTAAATGCACTTCCCGCCAGAATCTAGGTTTCCCACCTAATTAGTGGGGACGTTCGTCCGCTCGGGGAGCGAGCTGGATTGCTCCAGGTGGCCTCCAAGGGGTACTGACCGTTCGTCCCCTGGTCTTTGTGGATTCTCGCCATGCGGACTGGACTGCCTCCGATGGCTATGGGCTTGATCTGACGACGTTCGTCGTTATTCTGGTGACCCGTGGCCCTGCTCCTTGTCCCTGCATAGACGTTTGTCGAGATTGGGCCGTTGAGCCTAAACCCCACTGCAGACGTTCATCCCTCCTGGAGGAACATGGGCTTGCCAGGCTAACTTAAACATCCAGCTGGACGTACGTCCGGAAGTAAGGGTAAATGGGCCGAACCTCAACTTGGGCCATTAACCCAACACTTTTCTAACTAAACAGAAATTCAAAAGAAACACATTCCAACTCTAACCTTTTGTTTGTGCTTAATCACTTTATTTTCCGCTTCTTGGTGGTTCGACACCCTACTTCATTGGGTAAAAAAATAGTTGTGTGCCATACCCCTACTTACGCTGTTATCCCTTGGCCCCTACCATTATCTAGCCCCCGTGTCCCTAACCCCCTATACGCGTACTCTTACCCTCACCCTACACCTACCCCAACCCAACACCCCAACCCCATCACTACTATCGGGAGTGGGGGGTTAGGGGCAGGGGTTACGAGCCTTGAGTGGGGGTAGGGGCCCGAGATAGTGTAAGGTATGAGTACCAGGTAGGGATAGGGGTTGGGGGGGGGGGGGGTAGGAGTGGAGTATGGTAGGGGGCACAAGTAGGGTAGGGGTAAGGTAACAGGTAGATGAGTAGGGGTAGTGGGTAGACCCCACATGCATAGATTCTCTGTTTTATTTTAGGAAAAATTGAAAATAATAATTTCAATTATTGATTATTTTTGTATAATCCCAACTATATGGACCGTCCGCCAATAATGGTCCATCACTAAATATTACCTGTTATAACAGATGAATTTTAAATAGAAATTAAGCTAAAAATTAAAAGTTGGGATTATTTATAGAAATTACCTGCTATATATCTTCTCATCCACTTTAGAAAATATAAGAATTTATTTATAGCCGGTCACGTTGGACCATTATTGGTGAAATGTTCCTAATGTTGGAATTATTCTGAAATAATTCATATTTGAGATTTGAGATTATTTTAAGCGGACCGTTAGAATCAATTTTTGCTTTATTTTATGCTCCCCTTAATTTACGAATATATACAGAAAGATGATATACAAGTAGCCATTTAGCCAACCACCGCATAGGCGCATACTCACTCTCAGCGTCTCCGGCTTCTCTCCGGTTGTGCTTGTGCGGGGAAAAAGCCCTAGAAAAGCCTATCAAATAGCAAACCAGCCCATCCCCGGATTCACCTCTGCGCAACTGCAATTCCTATGCCTTTATTCTGTCTGGTGTGCGTCTGACGCCACGCGATCTTTTCCGAGGTACGGAGCGTCCCACTCACAGAATGTTTCTTTTACAATTAATTGATATATATGTATGTGTTTGTGTGTTTGTTTAAAGGTATGTAATATGTTTACCCATCAGATTGTTTCAATGTGCGGTTCCTGAACAATTACGCATTTAAGGGTTTACTAAGAGAATGAACATGATGTTTTTCAATTCCAAAGACATTGTCCTGTAGTCTCGTCCACTGAAACGACTTATATGATTTATTTATTGAAGTGCAGTTATTTACTTGGAACTCTTACTGATTTGGGTAGCTGAACAAGTACATTTTGTCAAAAACTATAGAGGAGCTAATACCATTCCGATGATACCTAGAAATGGAAATGCAGCTCACTTTGGGAAGTGATGCAGATCTCCATCCTAGAAGCTCCCCAGAAAAGAAGGATGGGGGCTTTACTCTTAGACAAGTGAAATGTGTAGAAAAACTTGTAGAGTCATCACAAGAACATGCTTTACCAGAACGGATGATGTGCTCACAGGATCATGCTGTATTGGAGCAGGTAACAACATCCTTGGAAGATCATACCACACTTCTGCAGCCAGGTGTGTTATAAACATTTTTGCTTGATTTACTCTTCCTTTTACTATTATTTGTTCTTTTTTTTTTGTGATTCAGTAACCAGCTCTTCCTTGTGGGTAAATTTCAACACAGCCAGAAGACAAACTCGGAAATGGGCTGCATGGACGCGTGAAGAGGAAGAAAGTTTTTTCTCAGCATTACGACATGTTGGCAAGGCAATTTATTTATCAACCTTGTAACTCCATTCGATTTCTTCTTTCTGACATGTGTTATGACACTAGAACTGTTATTTGCTACAGAACTTTGAAAAAATCACCAACCGTGTTCAAAGTAAAAACAAGGATCAGGTGACACCTCATACCATAATATGGGTTTATTGAATTAATATTGGGTAAATATAAGGCCTTTTTGCTCTTGTGGTTCCAGATGCTCCCACATCTGAAAATGCCAGACGTTATTTGAATTCCTTGGAAACCCCAGCCCACCTAACCATTATTTCTTGATCCACTTTTTGCCAAACCACCTGGGCAGTAGGCCCAATGTGAGTTGTATCACTTAGCCAGACTTCATAATTGGAAAATGAGCACCATGAAGACACACTCCGCTCGGCCAAAGAAAGTTTGTCTTAATCTTTATGTTCTTCTGGCTGTGGCCATTTTTCCTTCAATTTTCCAGGTTAGGCACTATTACTATCGTCTTGTTAGGCGCATGAACAAGTTGTTGGGGCCAGACTTTTTCCTTGATGCCAAAAACTCGAAAGACACTAATGCTGCTATGTTGCGATGGTAACCAGTTAGTTTTTCATATGTACTCCCTCCGTCTTTATATGTTCCCTACATTTGCTTTTGACACAATATTTTAGGATAGAATAGTAAAGGTAGTGAATAGTGTAGAAAAAGTAGGAGAGAGTGTGTAAAAGTATGAAAGAGAAGATAAAAAGTAGATAAAGTAAGGGTTCTTGAGTATTTTATAAAGGATAAACTTTCCAAAAATGGAAGTGTAGGGAACTTTTAAATACATCCCAAAAAGGAAAGTGTAGGGAACTTTTAAATACGGAGGGAGTATGACTATATTTTTATATCTTGAAATTTGCAATGTATCAGTGTACTTACCTTGTAACTTTATATATCTACTTATGCTTTTAATTAATGATGTTCAAAGCCTTAAGCCAGTTAAGTCCATTGGTCGATTACCATTAACTTTACACTGTAGAAGCAATTGAACTCATATATATCATTGTAGAGCTAGGTAAGGCGTGGCATCAGCCCGCCACCTTATCACATAGGCGATAATTAAAAGAAACGTTGCCGTACATAATATCTAAAATAAATTACATAATACAATAATATGTAACAAATTTAATTTAAATTATATAAAACGTACAAATCTGAAGTAAGATATTGTGAGAAAAATACGTAAGAACTATATCAGTACAAAAAATAAAATAGTTAAACACAAGGCAGAATAAGGGAAAATAAAATGTACTACTCCGTCCATCTAAATGTAAGTGTCAAACTTTTTAGGGCTTAAATTAAGAAAGTGTGATATAATAACAACTTTACCCTCACTGATTAATTTCTGGGTAAAGGGGTGGGGGTAAAGGGTAAACTTCAATTTGTGTATTTCAAATGAAAACATTGTTAAAATAGGATTTTTAACCATAAGTATTTGCCAGAAAAGGAATTGCCACTTCCAGTTTGGGACACTTCAAAACGGGAAGGTGTAACTTTCATTTTGGGACGCAAGGGAGTAATAACTTAGAACTTGTGTTTAAGCAAAAGAAGTACGAAACTAAGTAAAAACAAATAACTAAGAACATGGAATCAAGCTGTAACGTCAGACCTGCAAAGTCCACTCACAATCCAATACTACATACATAACTGCAAAACAATTTAAAAATTAAAAAAAATAAGAAAGAGAGAACAGACTTCACGTCCACCTTGCTTGAAATAAGAGACTTCTACTTAGAAGCCGGATTCAATTCATCCTTGAAAACTGGAGTGCTGATTTCAACTTAATAAACCAAAGAGCAGACTGACCATAAAGTTAAAGTAGTGTCCGTTGGAGCAACGTTCTCCGCGATGACCTACGAATGCTGCTTGTCTCCATAAGAGGTTGAGCCTATTTATCACTTGTTAGTTACTAACAATCTAACATCTTTCTAAGTCTGGAACACGGGTCAGTTAAAAACTTGGATCTGGCATCACCATGGCGATTGCACGATGCCTAATCGATGCAGCTGCATGCCTAGGAGACTTTAGACGAGTGGAACGAGCATGTTGCAACTCCACCACCGCCACCATGATAACTATGGGATGACATTTTTAATTTTTACTTTCATTTTTATGGCGGCATAATCTGAAATCAGTTTCTGCTAGGTGCAGTAGACTCCCTGCAGGACTTTTAGTGAAATTAGTTTTGCATATTGATGATGAGAACTATCCATGCATCGTAGTGGTTCTAATTAGCGTGCAAACACCATTAAACCTCCGGTGCTTTGAAGGGATTATGTGCTAATTAGCTAATTATATGTGTTATTGATAATCTGTAGGTGGTCTTTACTGGAAAAGTATAGCTGTAAAGCTTCAAAGCTTCACTTGAAGCCCCGTAGGTTCAAAATTTTCATTGAGACCCTGGTTAGTGAGAAACTATTAGTGTTTCCCGTGAGTAAATAATGACCCACTCTGGTATTTATATGATTACTCTGTTTTGTATTGAAGGAGAATCAACTCTTGAAAGACCGAAAAAAGAATGTCAGAAGGTGTTTTTCTCAAGGGGAAAGCACATCAACTGCCCCTATTTCTCTTCCAAATCAAGGCAGGGCTTCTGGTCATGCTAGTCAGTCAGTCAAGTTGGTTCTTCTTGAAAATCAAGACATACAAAAATTTGGGTCTGGAAAAGGGTCATTGCTAAAACGCCATGTAAATATAAGTTCCAACAGTATCTCTCATAAAGCATCTTCTCCCCCTCCTAAACCAGCTAGACACCGGCGAAAGATAGGTAAGTTAACCTATCTTAATTTGTTATGCTCATTTATGCTATGCTTTAGTTATACCGTTATAAGTTATCTTACGGTCTTACTTTCCACTGGTGTTTTCTCATGCGGACACAATTTTGTTTAAAAAACTAACTTAGAAGGCTGGAGCATGAAATCTGTTTTGGAGACAACCTTTGTTATTTTATTGGCTAATACTCATCAAGTACTCACTACTTTGCCCTAGACCTGGCCAAGTTGTCTTTCTACTTGGTTTGATTTAAAATTGTGATACTCGGCGAGTACTTGACAATTTGAGGCTTTGACAATTTGAGGCTTTGAGCGACTCAAGGAGTACTGTTACTAGGCTAGTTACTAGGTGTTATTTAAAGTGAAATATTGAAAATGAAAATTGACTCTTTAGGAAATTACAGAAAATAGGGACTTCGATATAATAAATCACATTCTAAGGGATGAATCAAAGTTGTTAAACTCAGCTTTAAGCATGGATCCAAAGGGGCCTAGGAGATTGTAATTTGGGAATTGGGATCATAATTCAGATCATAAGATCTTAAAATTAGAGCTACCATGCAATATGTGTGTGTGGACTTTAATTTAAGACCATTTGAACCACAACAACAAAGCCTTATTCCTAAAAGATTTTGGAGTCGGCTAACATGAATCGATCTATGATATCAGAGCCCAATAGAAAAGAAAGATAAGAAAAATTAAAAGATGAGATAAGAATATAAGATAAGGATAAAGATAAATATAAGATAAAAGAACATAAGAAAGGTAAAAATTAAAATAAGAGAAAAGTGTCAAATTGGTCCTCGTACTCTGTACGGAAAGTCAATTCAACCCCCATACTTTAAGTTTCATCAATCACGTTCTCGTACTTTATAATATTAGTCAAAATCGACTTATAATTTTGTAGAGAAGAACACAATTATAGTCACTAAAAGTACTAAGTCACATTTTTGTTATTCACTTTTCCAGAAGTAACATTATTGGGATTCTTTCTTAAAACTAATAGTTATAGTGCAAAGAATACAAAAAATTAATGATTTTCTACATTGCAACACATACGTTAACACTTTTCATAAAGAGTCATATAAAAATAATAAAAATATGTTTAAAAATAATACTCCCTCTGTCCTGGAGACAAGTTCCCACTTTCCTTATTTGGATGTCCCGAAATAAACTTCTCATTTCCTTATTTGGCAAATTATCTACATCAAAATAGTGTCAATAGTGTAAAACAGTGCCAAACAGTGTCGAAATAGTGCCAAACAGTGTTGAAACAGTGTCGAAACAGTAAAATTTACCCCTCAGTAACTCTATTTCCTTGAAATGCGTGAAAGTCAACTCGGGAACTTGTTTCCGGGACGGAGGTAGTAGTTTTGAAACAATTTTATATACTAACAATGTTAAATTGTGATATAAAAATAATAAAAGGGGGGAATTAGAGAATAGTAGATTTTTTAATTTTCCAATTTCGAATTTTAAATTTATAATTTGTTATTATTTTTTAAATTTATTTATTTATTTGAAGTCATTAAGGGTAAATTTGCTCTTTTATAGGAACACGAGGGGTATTGTTGCACCACTTAGAAGTTCAGGGGTATATGTGCACCTCCACATATACTTCAGGGGCTATATTTACACCTTTCCCTGTTTTTAAATCCCATTTTGCATTTCGCGTTTTCCATTTCTTGTTTCCGTGCTACTTGGGTCTTCACTTTTGACATCTTAACCTGACTGAGTTACTCACCAAGTTCATCGAGATAAGTCTAACAGTCAATAAAATCGCCATGTATGAGGTGAGTAACTCAAGTTTTGTAAAACGTTATCTCTTGTGCTTGTTTTGTTTACATGTCTTGATGGTTTCATATTATTATAGTCATTCATATTTACGGTCCCAAACTTTTTACCCTTTTGTGACTGTTATTGCCATTATGCTGCCATGCAGGTGCTGTATCCGCTGCTACATATAAAAGATGGGAAAAGGCTGCAATTGCAGGGGTTTCATTAGTAGCTGATGCTGCTGAGCATTTGGAGCGCACAACCAATGATGCTTTCCAGGATATACATGGTGGGTGAGATGATGAGATGGTGATGGTTTTCCAAATAGCAAGATTATGATTTGGTGGGAATTTACATTATTATTTGTTGTCCAAATTTTCTCTACAATATTTCAGTGCAAAATGGTTTGGAACATGCTGGAGGAGTTCCACACACTTTCCCGACTTTGTTGCATAATCCGTTCAATGAGACCAATTTGCAGAGTTCAAGGAAACTAAAACTCCAACTTTTTCCTATGGATGATGATACAAGAAGAGCCTTGGAACTGGTACACATCAATATAAACTAAATTTGATATGTAGATTGTGTAAACAGTTCATGAATTTCCCGGTTTTATATATTTACTGCGAATCCTATTCTAGGATAACCATAACCCACATCTGGAGCTCACTCTAAGTACACAGAAGAAGATATCATCAGTAATGGAACATCTCAATCGCAAATGGGGTAATTCTAGCGTGGCATGTGGAGATTTATTGCTTTTCCCTTACCAATCACAAAAAGAAAACATGGTGCATTTTCAGAAATGGACCAAGGATTCTACCCTCACTGCTGCGAATGTATATGTACTAGTTGGAAGGCCTCCTGTTTTCCGTCTTAGGTCATATTTGGTTATTTTTCAAATTTAATGACATAATTTCACTAAATATTTAATACTGTAATTGATTGTTTCCTTGAAAAATCATGTTCAAGGTATGGGTGGTTTTCAAATGCCGAAGCAACATTTTTGGCACCATCTCTGTCTGCCATACCTTGTGGACGTGATCCAAATAGCCATATTATGCAAGAAAAACGCATAGTGTTACCAGCTGCTTCCTCTGATACCCCTAAAGGGGAGAATTGTTGTTCTAGTGTGAACAGTATGAATATTTCAAGGAGTTGTGAACATACTGAAGCTGTTAGTTGGGAACGTTCTGAAACCATAATGACACATGCAGAAGTGGTACATTTCCTTTTTTTTAGTTTTATCTTTCCTGTGAACCCATCACGTTCATGTCTCTACTTCCTAGAAATAAGTACTCTTATCCATCAAATGCTTAAGTTCAAAAGGCAAAATTCTATCTATGTTTTCATAATATGCCATGTTCAAGTAAATGATGGTACTATTTAAGAGGTGAAACAAGAAAGCCGTATTTATCCACCGTAGGTCCTGTTTGTTTAATATTTTATTGTGTTAAGAACATCAAATCATTATCCATGCCCCCAGGAATATTTTCTTGTTTTCGGCACATGAGTTTTTATACTATTGGGAATTGACCCCCTTATTTGAAAACATGAAGTGATAGTTTAATGTTTTCTATTTTTTGTGGGTCAAACATCAAGAAATTGCCCTAATGTGAAATTCCGAAATATTTAGTGTCATACTTGGAGAATAATGTCTATTATATGATTATATCATTAATACTGGTTTTTGAGGTTTATTCCTTCAACCCGTTGGCCCAACACGCAACCTAAGTGGTAATGGTGGAGAGTGTATGTGAATATGAGATAATAGCAAGTAAAATGGGCTTCGAAGTATCTGCAATAGTGGGTTGTATCTTATTAAGTGGTAATAAGAGCTCATTACAACACACTAAAGCTATCTGGTGTTAGACATATATCTTTGTAATAGACTAGAAGTTCTGAGTTGTTATAGTCTATTATATACTACGAGCTAGTGTTCAGGTTGTTAAGAAGTCTGTTGACTTAACAACCCTATAATTACTTGTACCCGTACACTGTTATGAATGAGAGATAATTCTGTTAGCTTCTAACTCTCTTTCTAAACTCTTATATGTTATCAGAGCTTTAGCTCGGTCCATCCATGGCGATCTCAGATTCCGCCTCCAACTCTGCAACCTCCACAAAATCCACGACACTGGTGACTTTCGCACATCCGCTTCTAATCAAACTCGATGCTAACAACTTTATCTTCTGGAAACACCATGTAGAATCAGTGGTGCGTGCACATAAACTTTTGAAGTTCATTGTCAAACCAGTAATTCCTCGGCAATTTCTCAATCACGAAGACGAAGCAGCAGGAATTGTGAACGAGGAGTACTCTACCTGGGAACATGATAGATACCCCAAGAATCCAGACAATTTACAGAAAGAAAATCAAGAATTCAAACTGAATTTTATTGATGAAGAAGAACAAGAACAGTCGTAACAAGAAACTGGCCGAAGCCCCCAATAATTGAGCCGAAGCCCCCCAAAGAAAGAGAATAGTTCTCGATCTCCCAAAGTCCCAAAGTCAAAGTCTAAAACAGCCTACTTGACTTCTCCCAACTTATTCTATTTATACTAATCTAGTACACTTCTTATTATACTTGGTTTATTAGGCCCACTCCAAACAGTCTATTAGGCCCAATTCCTAACAATACTTCCCCCCAAAACATCCACCTTGCCCTCAAGGTGGGTAATATGACACAGCTACCATCTTCTTCTTTTCCTTCATCCTAGCACCTCTTCCTCTCCAATACTTATTTATCTGCAGGGCCTTTTGCTTTGCTACTTCCATTTTCCGTTCTATGTACTTCACAGCATAGTTCCACAGAGGCCAGAAAATTTGATCCAAAACTTTGATTCCTGCAGATTTTGGGAAGACCAAGGTGCAGCCTGCTGCAACATAGGGGACAGCTACTTCATGCTTTTGAACACTTCCTCCTTCAACATCCTGTTCACTTGATGAGTCATCTCCTTGTAAAATCACCTTCTGCCCTTGTACTTCCCATTTGAAAGTCTGACTTTGGAAGTTAATCTCCGTGTCTCCCAAGCTTGTTAGCCAGTCCATTCCCAAGACTAAATCCGTGCTCCCCAGCTCCAATAAGTAATAAGTTTGATGAATACCAATTCCTTGCACATTCAGATCTACACCTGCACATCTGCCACGGCTTTGAATACATTCTCCATTCCCTAACTGCACTCTATTCCCCTGAAAAGGAGTATAAGGAATCCTCCACTTTTCCACCAAGCTTAGTGACATAAAATTGTGTGTAGCACCTCCATCAATGAGTACATTTACTGTGTTTTCACCTTCATGCCATTCCAGTGTACCCTTTACCTTAAAGGTTTTCACAGGGGTTATGTCTTTCTCATCACTTAAAGAAAACTGCATGGTCTTCAATTCTAGAGATGTGGTCTTATCCCTGCCAGATTCCATTGATTCAACTTCAGAATCAGCTTCACCCTCCGAATTCTCCACTAGGATCATTTTATAGTTCCTCATCTTACAGACATGTCCTCTTCCCCAATTTTCACCACATTTAAAACAGAGTCCTTTCTTGCTTCTGTTTAATAGTTCTTCTTGGGATAGTCTGGGACTTGTCTCATTAGATACGCAGCTTGGACCTTCCTTCCTGCTTTCATCTCCCCATTTCTGGCCTGAAGACTGGATGATAGGTTTAGTCTGCCATTTCCTCTTTCCTTCATCCTTATTCTTCACAAATAAGGTTTCAGAATTCTTGTTCTCAATCGTGGACGCAGTATCCACAACTTCTGCCAACGTTCTAGTACGATGTAACTTCAATTCTGCTCTTATATCTCTTTTCAATCCCTTAAGAAAGATTCATCTCAAGACTTCTTCAGTTAAGTGGCCTTGGGACGCAATGGCAGTCTCAAATTTATCCCTGTATTCTTTCACTGTTCCTTTCTGCTTCAAACTGAGTAGTGGTCCCAAAGGATCTTGCACCAATTCTGGTTGAAATCGTTTGGACAGAGCAGTAGTAAAAGCATTCCAAGTTTGATGTTGAGCTTGTCGTTCCCACCATTGGAACCAGCTCAAGGCCTGGTCCTCCATGGCCACGACTGCAACGTCAATCTTATCTTCTTCGTCTGTCCTGTTCAATCGGAAGTACCGGTCCATCCGTACTAACCATCCAAACACATCATCGCCATTGAAAATAGGTAGGTCAATTTTTCGACCTACCTGTTGATGGTGCCGCTGATGTCTGCGTGAGTCGCGATGGCTATGCGAAGTGGAGTGGTCTGATCCATCTGAACTATCGCTGTTCTTCACATGTCTATTGTGATGCGATGTCGTTGAATGATGCGACCGACTCGACCGACTCCTAGATCGATCGGAATGTCTGTTTTGGAGGTCCGCGATGCCAGCCTGCATCGTCGTCATCATCGCGATCAGGTTTTCATACTTCGTTTCTACTTCAGCTATTCGTCCCTCCATCATCTTCCTTGTTCCCACCATTCACAGCAACGAAATCTCTGATACCAATTGATAGGATCCTCCAGAAATTCACAACAATCCACAGAGAATTTGTAAAACAGAATCAAGAAAACAAAGAAGATTTTATTATCGATGAATCGGTAACAAGAATGGCCGAAGCCCCCAATGAGCCGAAGCCCCCCAAAGAAAGAGAATAGTTCTCTGATACCAATGATAGATACCCCAAGAATCCAGACAATTTACAGAAAGAAAATCAAGAATTCAAACTGAATTTTATTGATGAAGAAGAACAAGAACAGTCGTAACAAGAAACTGGCCGAAGCCCCCAATGATTGAGCCGAAGCCCCCCAAAGAAAGAGAATAGTTCTCGATCTCCCAAAGTCCCAAAGTCAAAGTCTAAAACAACCTACTTGACTTCTCCCAACTTATTCTATTTATACTAATCTAGTACACTTCTTATTATACTTGGTTTATTAGGCCCACTCCAAACAGTCTATTAGGCCCAATTCCTAACAGAACAACAAGATCAGATGTTGTTTTCGTGGTTGCTTGCATCACTTTCGGAAGCGCTTGATGCTCGTGTCATACATTGCATATACTCGCATGAATTATGGAGCGAAATCACCACGTTCTTCAGATCGAGTATTGTTGCGAAGGCTAGGCAACTCAAATCCGAGCTGTATAACTGTTAGGTACCTGGCAATACTCTGGCAATAAACAGTAAACAGAAACGTAGATCTGATAGAGATGATATGGAAGGGATGTGTATTGACGTAATAGGTAAACCGTAGGCTACAAGGATAATCCGGACTCAGGCAACAAGGCAACAGGCAACACTTAGAATCAAAATAACAGTCTACCTATTATTAGCTACCCAACTTACTATTTATAGTAGTAGGTCCACGCAGGGACTAAAATAGATAAACAGACTCATTAAATGACCCCAGCCCACTTAATTGACCTCAGCCCATTTTATTTCTTCTTTCAAATACCCTATTAAAATACTCAATAGGCAGATTCCTAACATTACTCCCCCCCTAATTAACCACCTTGCCCTCAAGGTGGGTAATAAGACACAGCCTTGATCTTGAACTTCCTCTTCATCCTGGAACCTCTTTCTTCCCAGTACCTCCTTGGTTTCTGATCTAGGAGCTTCATTTCTTTCACTTTCATTATCACGTCTTTCACAGCAAACAGAAGCAGAAACTGGGTATAAAAATTCCCTAGAATTACCCTTGAAGCCTCTTCCTTGTAACCCCTCTCTTCATATAAAGGTTCTAAGGCAGACATGCTATGAGTTGCAGCTCTAAATGGATCAAAGAACAAACCAGTTTGAACCCTTACAAGAACACACATACCAACTTCAACTGGTTGAACAATTCTCCTCTTTCCCAGTTCGGCTTGAAACATTACTGCTGCTTTATAGTACATTTGTACCACCTCTATCAATTTCTGAGAAATGAGATTAAGAGTGGCCCCAGAATTCGTTAATATCAGAATGTGTTTGCCTCCCTTGTTCATCTGTATCTCTCCTTGATTGATACTCACAGTATCATAAGTCACATAAGAAACATTAAAATTTGTCAAATGCACCACATTTTGCGCCTCCAGGATATGTTCATTCTCTTTAAACCTATGCATCCACTTGCTCAGGCCCTGTGCCACTTCACACCTCTCAATGTTGCTGCCATCAGATTTCATAGTATCTAACGGCCAAGACACTGAGTTTGGGAACTTTCCTTCTCTCATGCCCCTTATAAGAGAGCCCATAGCTTTTGCAG